GAAAGATTTTAGTTATGCCTACGAACTTAACAGATCAAGTACAGAAAGTGATAAGAATATGAAAAATAAATTTTAAGGTTTTTGTTATAAAGCATGTGTGGTCGCAGGAAAGAGAGAGACAGGGAAGGGAAGCAATTAATCCCGCAGGAAGGATGGCCACACTGCAATCCCTTCTCCTCTGTTCTCCTCTTGGGATTTTGGGCATGCATGCACATGTGCGGAGTGATTTTCAAGGCACTGCATCCTGGACTCCAACTTGGTTGATCAGATGGGAGTATAGTGCCTTTATCATCAAGCTATCTGCTGGCCCCAGAATATGAAAATTATTAGCATACAAATATTAGCAAGCTTAAGTTACAAACTAAAAACAAAATGCTCACTCTTTTCAAATGACCATAGAATTATTTACAAAGATGGATCATGTGCAAAGCCAGAAGGAAAAAAAAAATCTCCAAAAAATTGTTAGAAATTATTGTAGACCCCATTTTGATAACTACAAGGAATAAAACTAAGAAACTGACAACAAAAGGAGAAACAACTATCATCTCATCTATTATCTAAATGTTTGGAATTGAATGTTTCCTAAAAGTTTAATATTTTTTCTCCTCTGAAGAGAAACTCATTTGAAGATGGTATCTTTCAACAGGTCATGCTTAGATATCATTACTCTATGAGTAATAATCACTACAATTTTGTTTTAAAGAATGGGGCCAGCAGGTGGTTAAGGTGCTGAACTTCCACATGGCCAACCATGGTTCAAGTTCTGTATCAGGTGGCTTGAAACCCACGCCGGGTGCGTGTGCGTGCATGCCCAAGATCCTGGGTGGAGAGTTAAGGAGAAGGGATTACGATGTGGCCATCTCCTCTAGGGAGTGATTTCTCACTTTACCTCTCTGTCTCTCCCTGACTAGAGCACACACCAAAAAACAACAAAAGAAAATCAAGCCAGCATGTGTATGTACATACCCAAAATCTGACAGAAGAGACTGAGGATGGCCATACCCTTACCCTCTAGATGGGTTATTTCTCACTTTCCCTTTCTCTGTCTCTCTCTGTTTCTCCCTGGTGAGTGCACATGCCCAAAATCTTAAAAAAGATAAAAGCCCTATATTGCTAGGAAACTTTACAAGATAAGGAAAAAGATAATTCTGTTAAGCTTTGTTTAGAAATCCTCCAGTAGAAATGCTTATTACAGAAATGTCAGTAGCAAGCTTGCCCTCATATACTGAAAAAGACATACGGGCAACATACAAATTCAAGCTGATAAAGAAAAAATGCCATTGGTGAGAACCAAAACAAAGGTTTATGTAATAGACACAGAAAGATAAAGAAAACTAGGACAGGAAAACATATTTTAGAAGGAAAAAAAAATCTGTGGTAGACCACTGTGTTTTATCTGCTTTTTTTTTCACTAACATAGTATTCTTCATTAAGATCTGCTAGAGAACAAAGACCAACACCACTCAAGCACAAAATAAGCAAACTAATTATTATTTTATTTCAGTTTGTTACTAAAGGTCAGAAGAGCTTGTGGCAAGAAGACATAGTGTTATCAAACACAAGGGATTTTCTTTTTGAGAGATTTTTGCTATAGGGTGCATGTGCTAGTCAGAAAGACAGACAGAAAGCAGAAATCACAAGATAAAAGCCCTATATTGCTAGGAAACTTTACAAGATAAGGAAAAAGATAATTCTGTTAAGCTTTGTTTAGAAATCCTCCAGTAGAAATGCTTATTACAGAAATGTCAGTAGCAAGCTTGCCCTCATATACTGAAAAAGACATACGGGCAACATACAAATTCAAGCTGATAAAGAAAAAAATGCCATTGGTGAGAACCAAAACAAAGGTTTATGTAATAGACACAGAAAGATAAAGAAAACTAGGACAGGAAAACATATTTTAGAAGGAAAAAAAAATCTGTGGTAGACCACTGTGTTTTATCTGCTTTTTTTTTCACTAACATAGTATTCTTCATTAAGATCTGCTAGAGAACAAAGACCAACACCACTCAAGCACAAAATAAGCAAACTAATTATTATTTTATTTCAGTTTGTTACTAAAGGTCAGAAGAGCTTGTGGCAAGAAGACATAGTGTTATCAAACACAAGGGATTTTCTTTTTGAGAGATTTTTGCTATAGGGTGCATGTGCTAGTCAGAAAGACAGACAGAAAGCAGAAATCACCCTCCCCCCTCCCCCCCAGGGGGAAGATGGCCTTGCTGCAATCCCTTCTCCTTCATTCTCTTCTCAGTATCTTGAGCATGCACACACACATGCCCAGCATGAGCTTAAGCCACCAGGTCTAGGACTCAAACTGTGGTTGACTACATGGGAGTCCAGCGACATAGCCATTACATCAACTGCTGGTTCCTCAAATACAAGTTCCTCAAATACACAGATTTTAGACATACTAAGTTAAATAAGGACCTGTTTACTCCAAATAGATAGAAATTTCCAACTGGCAATCCTAATGCATACTTGGTAAACTCAAAACTGCCAGAGAAGCCAAATTTAACTTTTCTATATTACTCATATTTCTGTGAATCAGAATGGGAGCCTTATTATAACCAGCTCCCATTAGATAGGATTTAAGACACAGCTGCTTCACAATTTTATAACACATTTGTCTGTTTACTGTAATGTGCCAATATGTAATGCAATAGTTGCCTCTCAATGACAATAACTTTACATTCAGACATTCAAGCTCTATTAATATTACGAAATTTGAAAGAAGGAAAACCCTTAGGTACTTACAGTATACAATGTGCATTATATTGGATGAGTCATGACCTGGGCAGTGATCTTCTATTAGCATAATAAAAGGAGGTATTATCTCTTCCTTCTCTGAACATCTGTAGTATTTATTGTCCCTACTCCCCTTTTGGCACACTGTTTGAAGCGGTAAACTTTTCACATGCATCTGATCTGAATCCCTTAAGGGTAACAGTGACACCTTCTGCTTATTTGGATATTCCACACATACCTGACAAGGAGATGTTTTTTAAATATTGACTTTTGTTAATTAACTGAGTAATGCCATGACATCTTTCCTTTGACACCTTTGGAGCATGGCTACCTACTCTCTCTGTACTCTGGAGTACCCATACTATTGAATTTTTTGAAAATTTTCTAAAAAATGAAAGTGAAATAAACAAAGCAACAAAGTTTATTTAAAACAGCAAGATTTGTGGGACCAACAGTTGGCATAATGGCTATGTCACTGGACTCCCATGTAGCGATTCGAGTCCTGGACCCAGTGGCTTAAACTAGGGCGGGTGTGCATGCATGCCCAAGATCCCGAGAGGAGAATTGAGGAGATGGGACTGCGGCATAGCCATCTCCTCCTGGTGTGTGTGTGTGTGTGTGTGTGTGTGTGTGTGTGTGTGTGATTTCTGGCTTCCTATCTGTCTGTCTGTCTCTGTCTTTCTGGTGAATGCAGGTGCCCTATAGCAAAAACCTCTAAAAAAGAAAGAAAAAAAAACCAGATTTGTTAAGTGATATTAGATAAAAATAAATATTTTTTCTTTAGATTAATCCTTACTCTAATCAGAGATTTTCAAACATCTAGGCTGTAGCAATAATGGGTGGGCCCTAACACACTTCTGTTCAAGCTCCTGCCCTCAGATTGGAAAACAGCATCAACATCAAGAACAAAGTTCACCAACTACCCCCAAACATTCTTCCCTGTGCTCTAGACTTGCAGTACTCAATTGGTTATCCCTACACCTTTCTAAAAGGTTTCCATGATTCTTGTCTTTAGCAATTCTGTCTCAAACTTCAGCATGCATCAGAATATCCTAAAGGGCTTGTCAGAACACAGATTGCTGAGCTCATTGCCAGGGTTTCTTACTCAGGAGGTTTTTAGTGTGAGCCTCAGCATGTCCACTTAAAGCAAGTTTTCAAGTGATGCTGATGCTGCTAGTACAGGGACCACACTGAGAACAACCACTACTTTCCATCCTCATCTATTTCTGCCATATTTATTGTGACTGATTTAGTCATTCGATTTTTTAAAAAAGATTTTTAAAATTTAACTATATTTATTTATTTTAAATTGACCAGGGAGGGGCAGAGTGAGAGCAAAAGAGAGAGAAGGAAAGTGAGAAAGCAAGCCACCAAGTCCAGGACTTGAACTGCGGTCAGCCATGTGGGAGTCCAGCACCCTTAACCACCACACTACCTGCTGGGCCCTATTCATTCAACTTTAAAGATGGATTCTTCCTTTAGATGAAGCTTGTTTTCTCCACCTGCTGTTCCAAATTAGTGTTCATCATGTGGTGTGAAGAGCAAATACTGTCTTTGTGTGACACTTTTCAGCATGATACCCATGTTTGTGGACAACCAAAGGCTGACTCTAACTTTCCCAGCTCCAAAATGCCACACAACCATTTGGACCAAGTGACCATTGCTACAGGGAAGCATCAAACTACTTATTAAGCCTACATTTCCCCATTTGAGAGTAACAGGGATGCATATGTTACTCTCTCTGCAGAGAAAGGTTTTCCTTCCCTCTCACCTGGTTAATTTCTACTGTCTCTCAGGTCTCAGCGCAGAGGGGACTTATTCAGGAAAGCCTCCTTTATCTTCCCCATGACTGAGTCAAATCTTCCAGATCTGGAGTCTCATAGAGTAACTGAGCCTCTTTTTCAGCCCTTTTTATGGTTGCCTTTTTTACTTTATTTATGTAAGTAATGTTATAGCTGATTTTTCCCCACACTGGACTGTAAGCTCCAAACAGACAGAAAATGTGTTTAGTTTTTGACCTTATCATATTTTCACTGCCTGGTAAAATATCAGGCACATGGAAGAGGTTCAAACAAATATACACACGATCTGAGCTTTTTCAGTTCTAAGAGAGATAAGAGAAAGTATTCCTTTCTATATGCAGGCAAAGGCATAGAAATATTGAAGCAAAAATATGACTTTGGTCTTATATCTGATTTTTACCTACTCCACACTCAAAAAACAAACAAACAAACAAACTATCCAAAATGACTTACCTCTTCTGAATAATTCTTGGAGACTTTCAGCACTTTGATTTAATACAGCCCATATTTCTTCCTCCTGAAGTGGTCCACCCCGAACCTCCAGGGCCTCAGCTAGTGACACATGCATATTACCTGGGAAACAAAGGTAACAGATGGTCTATACACCAGCAACTTAAATACATTTGCAATAGTGAAAACTGCACATAAATGATGAGAAACTTTAAGCCCCTGGTCTACCTAAGATCTCAATATAGCCTTTAATTTAAATATAATTCTAGTCTTTTACTCACAGGAGATGAAGGAAGTATACAAAAACAAAAACCCTTAAAACAACCAGTTGCCCTAGCCCAACAAGGTCAACCTCAGAGAACTGGAGAACAATGGTAGTGACTACTCCATGAGGAAAGACCAAGATCCCAGAATACCAGCATACAGATGATTAGACCAAAGTCATCAGTCTGAATTGAAAGTCTTTCAGCTTTTGGTTCTAGGTTTTAGCCTATTCACCCCAGATGTAAGGAGTAGAGAAGGGATCCTGTAGCCATGGTAGAAGTTGGGAGTCAGATGGAAACACATGCCTTCCATTCATTAATTGACTTGTATTATCGTACATTGATTTATGTGTATACAGAAAAATAGAAGCTTCATTTCTTTCTAAGAGATATGTGAGTTAGGAGCATGAAATATATTAATAAACTGGAAGTTTTAACAGAGGCATCTGTTAGATACTATTAGCAATGAGATACAGAAGTGGCTTGTGAGAAAGAGTACCCTGTAGTCAATTTCTAAAGTAACAGAACCGGTTACACAGCTCTAGAGCCTACATACATGGTATGCAGAGTAGAGAGAAGATTGCACAAGAAGGCGTTCTTTGAAGAGAGTTATGCTGATTTTCATGTCTCTCCCAAAGTAGGTGGAGTGTGGGAAGGTGCCTTCCTTTTACCTCAAGGAAGTGAAAGTAACTCCAATGGAATCCCCTTGCAGTGCTTTGACATGTGTTCCCTGAAAATTAGGGGGGGGGGGGGTGGATACAGTGGATTGGCTATCACTCTGAGGCAGAAGCAACAGGGAGAGCATTGTGGGCACATATACGGATGAAGCATGAAGCCAGATACACTTGCAGGCACTGGCAGGGAAGAGGGGGAGAGGCAGAGCAGCAGCATTGCACAGAGGGCCAGCCTGAAGCTACACAAAATCCTACATAGAGGACAAACGTGTTCTAAAATTTAGGTAATGGTAAGAACAGCACAACTCTGTGTAAATCCTAAAAACCACTGAAAGTACACTTTGTAGAATTTTTGTTGTCTTTTATTTACGATAATATGTGTGCGCGTGTGTGCTAGAGAAGGAAGGAACAGCCACCACGGGACTCAGTCATATTGTCATCCCCTTCCTTTAGCCAGCCAGGATCCGGGGCACAAGAGTACATGTCTGGGTGTGTTTTCAAGCCTGGTCTTGGGGACTCAAACCATGGCTGAAATGTGCTTTAAGCTCCACAGTCCAGTACACTACTTACTGCATCGCAGAGGCTGGACTTGAAGGTACATTTTAAAAGGGTAAATTCTATGGTCTATGAATTATATCATGAAAATCTGTTTTAAAAATCTAGAGGGCTGGCCCTCTAGCCTAATGGTTAAGTGAGCCAGATCCCACGTGGCCAGCTACCGTTAAAATCTTAGCCTTGCTAGCTTAAAAACCCTCTGGGCCAGTGCATACATGTGCTCTACATCCCAACAAGATGGAAAAATGAAGAAAGGACTGCAGTGGAGTGAAGAGAAAGAAGAGAAATTAGAACTATTGTTACTGTGGAATGACCTGGGAGAAAACCAGACTGAGGGCCAGAAGGGCTAGGGGATACTCACTAGTTGGAGGAAAATTTTTCTGGAGTGTTACAGGTGGTACATGGGTCTTCAGAAAACTCATGGAAAATGTAAAAAAAATAGCTTTTCACATAACAAACTTTTTCCAGTGCTTGATCTTTCTATCTATAAAGATCACTAATTATACCTCTGTTGCTTGATTTGATTGGGTCTGAATTATATTTTATGAATCCTCTGTTAATTTTTAATTTTTACTTCCTTCTATTAAAAATAGGGTCTATATGAATGTCTCCGTTTAGAACTTGTTAGAACTCCAAAATATAGAAAGAACATGTTTTTTAAAGCAGTATCAACAACCTAACAGGACAGATTTCATATTTCTAATTTACAACTTTGCTAAAAACAATTTAAGATTTCTTTACCCTGCCTCATCCCAATTACTCAATCTCAGACCTAAATGTAGTGTCACAGCAGCTTAAAAAATGAACAACCCCCCCCAAAGATATAAGTTTATAAACTGCCCATCATCACTTGAGCTGTGTTTTTTTCACCTTTATATAGCTTCTTAGATTGTCAGCTCTGAAAGCAAAGGGAAGATAATGAGGGAATGAAGGAAATGCAGAAGTTAAAGAAGGTTAAAAAATGAAAAGGAAGGAAGGAAACAAGGAAGAAATGAATAAGGAAGAGAGAGGGAAGAGGGTGAAAAAAGCTTGAATTCAACCAATAGATCAGGGAAAGAAAAAGCTATGAACATTTTTTGAAGTTTATTGCTTCCATTGTTTTCTTTAGACATAGTACTAGGTAACTTGGGGTACAGATATACAATTGCCATTATTTTACTATCACAAAGGTTCTGTTTCATAATCAACATAACCATATTATTCTGTATTTCCTTGAAGGTTGTGTGTTACCTAACTAAAAAGATTTTGGAAAGAACTTCAAGTAAGAAAAATTTAGTATATTACATAATCAATCATAGTCACATTTTTGGTTAGCACAGGTAACTGGCACGACCTTAAAACTGTGTCCAGAGTCAAACAAAGCCACAAAAGGATTCTAACATGTCATTTTAATCCTGATAGATTATGGCATTTACAGATAGGAACCATATAAAAGTGATTCAGAATAGAATAAAATAGTAATGGATTAAGTAAATCCAATCAGGTGATATAATAACCTCTCTACGGATAAACTAACTAGAAATGTTTAACTTAAATCTAAGGAAATAGGGCTATAAGAGCACCCTGTTTCATGAACAAGTTGCTACAAAATAGAGCTCGGTATATGCCACTAGGCTCAGCTAGTATTCTGGCTGAGGACTTCTTTTGATATTATGAAAAAATGTTTTGTCGTGAAGGCAATCCCCCAGTTGTAAGCATCCCGTAACCTAGGAAAACTCATATTTCACTATGTGAAAGTTTAAAAGAAGCAAGTCTATATATTAGTATTTTTTTAGAACTAAAGATTAGGGACCAGCAGTTAGCGTAATGGCTATGTCGCTGGATTCCCATGTAGTCTACTGTGGTTCGAGTCCCAGACCCAGTGGCTTAAAACTCACTCAGGGCACATGTGCATGCGTGCCCAAGATCCCGAGAGAAGAATAGAGGAGAAGGAATTGTGACGTGGCCATCCCCCCTGGGGGGTGATTTCTTGCTTTCTGTCTCTCTGTCTCTGACTGTCTGGCGAGCACACGTCCCCTATGGCAAAAACCTCTCAAAAAAAAAAAAAACCCTAAAGATTAAAGAAAAAATCTGTGCATACATAGTATTTTATCTATTACAATGTCTAAGATAAATAGGTCAGTTAGAATAATAGATAAGCTTTATGCTTCTAACCAAAATAGTATAATTGAGAACACGGTCGAGATTTGTTTTTTTTTTTTTTTCAGAGGTTTTTGCTATTGGGCACATGCGCTCGCCAGACAGACAGAGAGAGACAGAGAGACAGAAAGAGAGAAATCACCCCCCAGGGAGGATGGCCATGCTGAAATCCCTTCTCCTCCATTCTCCTCTCGGGATCTTGGGCATGCACGCACATGTACCTGGCATGACTTTAAGCCCCCAGTCTAGGACTCGAACCGTGGTCAACTACATGGGAGTCCAGTGACATAGCTATTATGCCAACTGCTGGTCCCTGAGACTTGCATTTTTATGTGTACAAAACACCCTGAAACAAAGAAGAGAACTTAAAGTCTTGTCAAACTTTATGTCTTACCTTATATAATAAGCATCTGTTAGGAGACTTATTAAGGTATGGGGGAAGGTTTTCTTGTTAGTTAAACATGTGAAATAATTTTTAAATTAGCTTTTAATTATAAATAATGCAGTTTAAAATATTTACAGGATCTTAATGAACTAGATTTGAAAATAGGAATATAGACTCAATCGAAGGACCCCATAAATGTGACTATAAACATTTTCTACATGAAGAATGAAAATTAAATTGATCTTAAAAGTTTAAGGACTAGGAGGCCAGCAAGTGGTATGGTGGTTAATGGCGCTGGACTCCTCCATGGTCAACTGTGGTTTAAGTCCTGGACCTGGTGGCTTGCCTTCTCACTTCCTTTCTTTCTCTTTTTTTCTTTTAAATAATTATTTTTTTTAAATTTTATTTCTTTATTTTAATTTGACCAAAGAGGGACAGAGAGAGAGAGAGAGGAAGCAAGAAAGGAAAGCTGCCAGGTCCAGGACTTGAACTGCAGTCTGCCATGTGAGAGTCCAGCGCCCTTAACCACCACACCACCTGCCAGTCTGCTTTCTCAATTTCCCTCTCTCTCTCTCTTACTCTGCCCCTTTCTGGTCAAAATAAAATAAAATAAAACAAATTAATTAGGTTAAAGAATTATTTTTTGGGGACCAGCAGGTGGCATGGTGGTTAAGGTGCTGGACACTCCCACATGGCCAACCATAGTTTGAATCCTGGACCTGGTGGCTTGATTTCTCACTTTCTCTCTCTGTGTGTGCCTCTCTCTGGTCAAATTAAAATAAATGAATGAATAAATAAATAATTCTTAAAAAAAAAAAAGAAAATAATTCTTTTTTTAAAATGTTTAAGAACTGGGTTTTGGAATTCTTAATAAAATACTCACTTAAAATAACTTTTAATTAGCTTGTTTTGGGTAAATAATACCTTGGAGGGCATTTTTTAAAATTAGCAGAAAAGTCACTGTGACCAGATCAGGCAATGTTTCCATTGATAACACCAAATGCATGACAGATAAAAGAAAAAAAAAACTGATAAATTGGAATTCATCCAAATTAAACTTCTGGTACTTGAAAAGAATATGCTATGTTAAAAGAATGAAAAAGTGAA